AGGTGCAGAGTCTTACAAGACACCTGATGATGTCACTGAAAGAGGCCAGCACATATAGGCAGATAAAGACCACCTGTGGGTCCCTGATCAAGGCTGATGCCTTTTAGGGTCCTAGTATGGGCTGGATCTGTAACTAAAGTGGTCTGCAGGCACAAGGCAGAGCTATGGCAGGACAGAGAAAACTGGGGCTATACAGGCCTTTTTTTTTCTTTCCTCTTCACCCAACTGTGGCTGATTTGATGGGATTCACCAGTCAAGCAAACTGCCGCCTCTGCTCGATCGCTGCCAAGATGATGCATTTTGGAGGCAGACACTAGAAACTTTTAGAGGGAAGAAACTGCCCTAGCATTACTTAAGCCATTAAAAAGATTTAGTGAGACTGGTGTGGGAAGACTGCTCCTGAGGTGCTTATTATTGAGCCCAGAAGAAAGAGGCTGGAATTGCTATGAGCTACTCAGAAAATCGGAGTCCCTACTCTGCTTTCTAACCTGGTTTAAACTAGCAGTAGAAAAACCATGAGTCAAGATGCCCTGGTGCAACCTTCTCAGGCAGCCAAAGCCCTTGCTGTAGGGAGACGCTTATTCCTGCCTCACCAGACATCCTGTCACTCTACCCAGTCATTAGTGGCCCCCAGGGCTGACTCTAAGGTCCCCACAGCACAGGAAAGCTTGCAATGCTTTGGAGGGAGGGTTACATCATTCTATCCCCACACCCTGCCCTACTGTCCCTGCTTGCTCCTGTCTATGAGTGGTTTTTACAAGTGAAGTCCATTCCCAAGTGACAGAATGAACCAAATCACCCACTTACAAAGAAGAGCCCGTGTGGGGGGTCAGACCTGTATAGTGAGACCCCTGTCCCATAGGAAGAGGGGGGTGATACCTACACGGTGTCTCATACTTCATTCTCTTGGCCTCCTTTCAGGACTGAGGTTGCCCAATCCCCCACAAGAGGGAACAGTAGACCAGTGGCATACCCTCAGGACAAGGCCTACTGTCTTTGCAGTGGGTAGGAGTTACACTGTAATAGTGTCCCCTAAATAAAAAGCAGCAGTCCTAAGAGTTTATCCACATGTTAATTGATGTTAGGCAAATTATAAAGGAGAAGCTGGGGGCTGGGCTGGGCCTTCAGAAGAACCTGAAACTCAATGCATTGAGCTTTTGAGGTAAGACAGACCAGAAGTGTCATAATGGGGACTGAACACTTGGAAGTTGGATGCTGCACAGATGGGATTCAGTGTCAAAAGGCACAAAATACTTCTCTATTCCCTGCCTGGCTAGAGGCTGGATACAAACAAACACGACTTAGTTTTAAAGTCCACTTTCTTGTAGTGTGTTTCCTTTCCACAAAAAAGGGTCATCAGCCTCTAGCTCTAGCTTTACATTTGTCATGGGGAAAATCCCAGTGTTGGACTCTGAGCCTGCCTGCTAGCTTCCTTGAACACCTCTCTAACCAGCTTGCAAGATGGTTCCATGTCAAGTGAGGACATCAGCTATTTCCTTTCCTGGCACAGTTCAGAGCCACTTTCCCATCAAGTCATGTTCAGGAGTAACTGGCACCTGATGCTCATAAAACACCTGCCTTCTGTTTATTAAAGGTTTGCTCCCCAGGAGCAAGTCAAAAGCATTTCACTACCAGAAATGTCACTGCAGTGAAAAGAGGGATGGAACACACATGCAACAGCACAAGCTGGTGTTTACACCATGTAAGTTTAAAGGCACCTCATCAACTTGAAATACAGATACATATGGCTGGATGCTCTGTCCTGACCCCAGTTCCACTAACAAAACTGACAAGGTAGATGGTTTTTTCAAGTTTACTTTGTGCAACTTGTGTATAGTCACTGCCTATTCATGTCCTATATAGTCATATTTCCTCTCATCCCCTTCCCCCCCACCCCAATCCAGTCAATCCCTTCTTTACTGTAAAGGGCTCTGATAAACCAAGGAGAAGAAAAAGCCTCTTAAAAGGAATCAGCTCGGGACAAGAAAGCTGCTTTAAATAACTTTCAGAAGCAAGCTGATAGCATCCCTTTAAAGCAAGATAAACTGCTAACCTACAAATAAGAGATTCCCATAGGGACAAAGCATTCAGTGTTCCTCCCTACATTACGATGGAATCACTCACACGACAAAGAGGATATCTGGTCACCTTTCAGATCTCTGTATTAGGCCACCTACACTCATTAAGGGTGGCCATGGCCACTTGTGAAGAAACCTGCTCTATCTATTGACTTGATGATCTATTCAGGTCCCTTCCGACCCTAGAAACTATCAGGCTAGCAGTCTCTGAATTGTAGCAGTATGAGCATTCAGAGGTTCCAAAAGCAGGAAAGGTGGCTGCCCTTCCTGCAGGAAAAGCTATAGCCCAGAAACCTAGCAGGGAGAGGAATGTGTTTTAGAATATGGACAGCAAGCTTGTTTTAGATGTGGGCTTCAAAAGAGCTCCATTTATTCCAGGAGCATAGGGACATTATCCAGATGCAATGTGGACAGCAGACTGTTTACTGGGCAACTTATCCTGCCTCGGCATCACTACCTATGCCATAGAAAGACAGTGAGGGATGTTTAGAGGGAGAGTACTTTGTACCCTCATAACAGCTGCTGTCACACAGAGGCTGATCCAGGGTGGCCACTACAGTGACCTTGGCTTGATGCTGATCATAGTGACCTCACAAAACAACCACACGAGAGATTTAGCACCTAGAATCCTGCATGCTCCCAGCTTGAGGAAGTTACCCCTTCCTCTAATCCCTTCTAAAACTAAAAGCTAGCAGAGGCTACTGAAACAGAATCTTGCAGAAAATACTTGGCCAGTTTGTTTTTTTTTAACCAGGTAAAACCTCATTCGCTCCTCCCCAGAAAAATGGCTGAGTGTGTAAGCTTCTATTTTTTTTCTTTTTGGATGGCTTTAGGGGAACCTGCTTTTAAGACTGAAGCTTCCAGAAGTCCAGGAACCTCCTATGCTGAGATGCAGACAGTGTTACATTCCATAACCAGGGGACCTTAGCACCAGGGAGAGAAAATAAAGCAACACTTGACCAGCAACTCAAGAGCATGAGCCACAGGCACCCATGGTGTAGCCCTCAAAGCCCTTTTTAGCCACCCACTATCTGGCCAGAACACTTGCCCACTGCAGCATACGTGTTTCAAGTAACAGTGGGAGTTGCCAGACAGGCCGTGGAGAATGTTCTCTTACAGCATGGTCACAGCAGCCCAAATCCAGATGCAACAGTATTATCAGGTTACTTTTCTTCTTGGACAGTTCCTGTTCCAGATACACAACCTGCCCTAGGC